ACAAAGTACTAACATCAAAAATGAAAAAGAAACCATTGCTACAGATCCTATCACCTTAAAGGAATAATAAAGGAGCACTTTGAATAACAGCACACCTACAGTCTGGGAAAGAAAAAATAAAACACTGTTTTCTTCAAAAGATACACAAAATAATTAGCAACAACAAAACCCACCTGAAACCAATAGCAATTATAAGAAGGTTTCAAGCTACAAAATCAATAAAAAGTCTGTCATTCTCCTATATACATACCACAACAAACAAGTGGTATCTGAAATAAAAATAAACACACTATGGTTTGGTTTGGTTATACATACCTATAATCACAGCACTCTGAAGGCTGAGACAAGGAGGATTGCTGCCTGGGCTACGCAGTGAGTTTGAGTCCAGCCTGGGCTATGGCACTAGACTCTGCCATCAGAAAAGTAATAGTAACAAAATAAAAACACAATTTTTTATAACTCAATATAAAAATCTGTGATTAAAACACTAGAACTCTGGTGAATAAAATCAAAAACTGGGGTTGCAGAGATAAACCAGGTAAACCAGACATGGGACCGAGAACGAGGCCCTATAAGCTCCTTCAACTCCTTGAAGAGTCATGATCTACTGCACACAGTGTATGATCTGACACGGCTCACGGCACCCTGGTGAGACAACACAAAGGACCACAACACAGAGAAAAAGACAACACAGAGAAAGTGACTGCTTCCTCTGTCTTCACCAAAATCTACCCAGGGGATTGGACCCTCTCCTACAGGCTCATGGAGAGCAAGACAGATATGGCTAAACAGCACAGGTTGCACCTTGAATACATAAGCATACCCTAATTGGCTAAAAAGCTATATATACGCTTATGTAATAAACAGTAAACTTAAATCTGCACTCTGATGCTGGTCTCTGGAGTCTGAATCCCAGGCATCTTCGTGGGCTTCATCTCCACTTTCCCCCCACTTTCTGGTCCCTGTTCCCACAAAAGATACATGAGGAATTTCTATATTTGTGGATAAAAGGCTTAATATTATTATCAAAATGTCACTCTATGCCATGAGCTGTAGATTCATAGTTATACTCAGTAACCATATCAGAGAATTCTTTTGTGTGTGTGAGGAAACTGATTCTAAAATCGATTTGAAGTCCTGGGGATGTGACTCAGTGATAGAATTATGTAGAAAAAATTATGTAGAAATAGATAGAATTATGTAGAAAAAATTATGTAGAAAAAGAAAAGCGACCCTAAAGTTTATATGGAAACACAAATACCCCAAATAACTAAAGCAATCCTGAGCAAAACAGATGATACTGTAGGCATCACAACACCTGTCTTCAAACTGTACTTGAAGGTCTTAGTAACAGAACAGGTGATACTGTAGGCATCACAACACCTACTTTCAAACTGAACTAGAAAGCCATAGTAACAAAACAGCATGTTACTGGCACAAAACAGACATGTGGGCCAGTGGAAGACAGCAGATGCTCTACAAGTAAATCCACATAGCTACAGCTATTTGATTCCAGACAAGAGTATAAAAAACATACATTGTAGTAAAGACAACCTCTTTAAAATGGTGCTGAGAAATTTAAATACAAACATGTTAAAGACTAAAATAAGATCCTTTTCTCTCACCCTTTACAAAGATCAACTCAAAAATGCATAAAAAGCTTTACGTAAGACCTAAAATGTTAAAAGTTTAAGAGAAAAATTAAGGGAAACACTTCAAGATCAAGGCCCACACAATGATTTTCTGAGTAAGATTCTAATAGCTCAAGAAATAATACAAAGAACTGATAAATGGGTTACACTGAATTTAAAGGCTTTGGCAGAACAAAAGAAACAATCAGCAGAAAAACACAAAATCAGAGAATTATTTCTAGTTAGTTATCAGACAGGCGATAAGTATCCAAAATATATAAAGAACTTGAGCTGGAGGGATGGCTCAGTGGTCAAGAGTCCTTCCAGAGGAGTGGGATTGATTTCTAGCACCCAGTGGAATAAGTATCTGCAGTTCTGGCCCTTGAGGGCACCAGGCACAAAAAGTGATGCAGAGACATACATGCAGGCAAAACACCCACACACATAGAATAAAATAATACTGATTTTAAAGTTGAAAATATCATACATAGAAATTTTTAAATAAATTTTTCTTAAACATTAAATATATAAAGCACTAAATTTAAATGCAAATAATCCAAACAATAAGCCAGTGAGACGAGAAGACACTTCAAATGAAGGAGGAGCTAAAGGCCTTAAGAGACATCTCACACGAGAAATCCTAACAGTGGCAAGTAAGCATATGAAGAGATGATCCACATGGTGGGTCATCACAACAGGAAGTAAGCCAGCAAGTGAAGACCACTACACTCCTGTCAGAAGAGCCACAGTCCAGAACACGCTTGAAGCCAAATGCTGACAAGGATGTGGAACAGCTGAAATTTTCATCTGTTACTAGCAGGAAGACAACTTGATGTTTCTGCAGTGATTAATGTCACCTTGACAGGATCTGGAATCAGTTGGGGGACAAACCTCCAGTCATGCCTATGAGAGAGTTTCTAGACCAGATTAACTGAGGGGAAAAGTCACCCTAAATGTGGACATGGCACCATTCCATAAATGGAGACCCTGAACTAAATAACAAGGAGAAAGCAAGCTGAGCACCAGCATCTGTCTCTCTCTCTCCTTCCTGACTGTGGATGCAGTAAGGCTAGTCACCCCATTCTCCTGCCACCATGCTTTCTCCACCACCATGAGCCGTATCCCTTTGAACTGTAAGCCAAAATAAATCCTTCCTCCCTAGAGTTGCCTCTTGTAGGGTATTTGATAACAGCAATGAGAAACATAACTGATACAGTTTCTTTACCCGGCTGTCCTGGAACTCACTCTGTAGACCAGGCTGGCCTCGAACTCAGAAATCCACCTGCCTCTGCCTCCCAAGTGCTGGGATTAAAGGCGTGCACCACCACTGCCTGGCTTAACACACAATCTAACACTTACAGCTCTTGTATTTACCTAAAGAAGTTAAAGACTGTGCCCCCACACCAATATGTTTTTGTTTGTTCGTTTGTTGTTGTGTTTTGTTTTGTTTTGTTTTTTCGAGACAGGGTTTCTCTGTGTAGTCCTGGCTGTCCTGGAACTCACTCTGTAGACCAGGCTGGCCTCGAACTCAGAAATCCTCCCGCCTCTGCCTCCCAAGTGCTGGGATTAAAGGCGTGTGCCACCACTGCCCGGTGCACCAATATGTTTATAATTAAATTCAATCCATACTTTCCAATCTTGGAATCAACACTTTTTTAACTTTTATTTTTCATTTTTGAGACTTCCAAATATGCATATAATGTGTTTTGATCAAATCCACCCCCACTTCCTCCCCTCCAACTACTCCCCAATCCCCACTACTACTTTTACCTCCCAACTTCATGTGCTCTTTTTAAAAAACAAGATAACAAAACAAACCAAAAAACCTCTCAAGTTTCATTTAATGCTGCTTGTATGTGCAAGCCATCTGCTGGAGCATGGGCAGTCTCTCAGGGGCCATATCTCAGAAGAAAACTGACTCTTCCTCTTCCAGCAGTTGCAGATAGCTAGTGGTGGAACTTCATGAGCCCCTCTCCTTCTGTGCTGGAATTTCAATGATTTGATGGCTTGACCTTAGGTAGGTTTTGTACAATGTATTCACAGCCACTGAAATACAATGTCTCTCAGCAGATGAATGGATAACACATTGCAGTCCATCCAGACAATGAAATACTATTCCGGCACCTAAACTAATGAGCTATTGAGTCACCAAAAGGCATGGAAAATTTTTAAATGTACATTACTAAATAAAGGAAGCTAGTACAAAAAAAAATGACACCATTTGTGAATTCTAAATACACAATACCCTGGAAAAGACAAAATTATAGAGACAATGGAAAAGGTGACTGGTGAGCTATTAATATAGTTAAGTAGTAGACTATATGCCTAGCAAACACAAGGCCCTGGGCTCAATCCCCAGTACAGAAGGAAAAAAGTGTAGTGAGTGGGATGGGCAAGTAGGCACAGAGGATTTTTAAGGAAGGGAAGCGCCTTGTGTGAAAATATGTAATAGAGCCGGGCGGTGGTGGCGCACGCCTTTAATCCCAGCACTCCAGGCGGATTTCTGAGTTCGAGGCCAGCCTGGTCTACAGCGTGAGTTCCAGGACAGCCAGGGCTACACAGAGAAACCCTGTCTCGAAAAACCAAAACAAAAAACAACAACAACAACAAAAACCCATTCGTTTCAAGGGCATAAAAGATTCTAGTTATACACAAAAGCCTTAATATTTCTTCAGGTCTAACCTTCTGGTCAAAGGTTAAGTACAGTTTAAAGTCAAAAGAAATCATTTCTCTGGATCTGTGCTAAGAAAACAGAATTCATCTGAGAAGGCTACACATGGGCACACCATTGGGAGAAGATCAATGGGTTCTCCAGGATAGAATGCACATGCGTGAATGGACCCTAAGCTCCTCTAGTCTCCTGGGAAAGCAAAATGTTCTGAACAGAGGAAATGCTACCAGTGTTTTTTTTTTTTTATTGTAAAGACTGAATAAAAAAAACTAGAATACATGTATAGCTTTTCAATGGTCACTGTCTAGACACTGTCTACAAACTGTCTAGAACTACTAGAGAGGACTCATGATGGTTATCTGTCCCCCTAGAATCTATCACATGAAGTTTGATTTGTATCACTTCTTAACCTTTTGATTAAGATCAAGTGAAATTTTATTTGTAAGTTACCCCTCTCTCTCTCTCCCT